GAATTGAATATATTAAATAATATATTATATGTTCATTATATTGATTTTGACATCTTGAGCTTTGTCTTCATCTACTGAGTTCAAGGGAGCCGACACGCAGAAATTCCAAGAAGCACCGACCCAGAGGGTGACGTTGGCCCCGACCATGAGGTCCTGTTTGTCAAGTGCCAAGCCTCAGTTCTTTTCGGCACCAGGAGGGCAAGAACTTGAAAACAGAGACCACTCCAAACAGGATCTTCTTTTGATTCTGCTGTTCAGACCCAGACCTGGTGAAGATTGGCTGATGTGTGTGAACGGACTCGTGCTGACGTTCGGTGAACGGACCGGACTTGTGCTTCCGGACACCGCTCGCACGGAACTCGTGGGCTGGACTCAGGACTGCAGGGGTCACTGGGTCACAGACATGACCTGTCTGGGACTGGAAGAGTCTGACCACACCATTCACCCCTTTCAACATGCCGGTGATTAGCCAGTCCTGTCGACCGGTCGGTGACGGAGTCGCCAGGTTGTCAGAACTCACGGATATGAAGGAGGACTATAAGGCCTGGAACGGCGAGGTTCATCACCACCACAAGAGGATCACTTTGGGTTCTGAAGTTCTGAAGGAGGGAGGCGACCGGGGCGCCCACAGCTGACTTCCATGTTCTTTTGTGTGGAGCTGTGTGCGGCGGGGCTGTCCTAGGTTAAAGGCTATTATGTATTGCAACGAAGCGTTGGGTGCTTTGCCCGTGGATGAGAGCAGGGGCGCCTAACGGACTTCCTCCGTTTGGATGGCGATTTCCTCGGAACTGCGTCTTTTGGTTCAGTACCACGCTCCAGAAAAAACTGGAAAGATGGTGAACCGTGGTGAATGATATGATTTCGCATGTGAAAGCCAAAGACGCATAGAGAGCCCCAAAACGGGCAAACAAAAACAATCAAACAACATGATCCAGGAATGACCTTTTGCTAACAATAGATGCAGTTCTATATACATATGTCCCTATACATAGTCACTCCATATTCTTCTCATTGGGGTTCCCTCATTTCGGCGGTCGTTCACTGCTTGAAAGGATTCAGGGCGCCCTCTCTTTGGCAATTCACGCCTGGAAAAGGTGGACTACGGCACATGGATCTCGGATGAAGTACCCTCACCCAAGGAGACAAACTCTCAAAATGGCGTGAAACTGTGTTTGTTTTTTTCCCGTCATGTTTCGATTTAAACTGTTTGTCCGATGAAATTACTTTACATCGAGTGATCCCCACAATGGCGGCGATATTACTTCCACATCACCGAGAAAGTGTATATGTTGCATATATACTTTATATTATAGGCATATTCTGGCATTCCGTTAGGCACATATACAATACAAGCACTCAATTTTGCAGATATGGTGGCATGTTATTTTGCATGTACATATACTGTGGCATCTTATGTGGCATGTATGTTGGCGCTCTATGTTGCAAGTGTGCTGGCATTCTATCTGGCATTCTATTTGACATATTCTGGCATTCGGCATACGTGCTGGCATTCTATCGGCACTCTATTTGGCATAGTTTCTACTTTACTTCTGGCATGCTATGTGGCATATTTGTTGACCTTAGCTTCTTTTTTGAGACTCTTTCTGGCACAAATTCTGACAGAAAATCTGGCATACGTTGTGGCTTCCTATCCGGCATGTTCTCTGGCATTCTATCTGGCATAGTTGCTGACACTCTTTCTGTCACTCTTCGTATCTCGCAGTTCAGCCCAGTGGTGCCCACTGCGATCTGGCGCTTGCAGTTGAGGACCTGCGGTGCCCATTGCGATTTAGCGCTCTCGGTTGAGGTCGGCTGGTGTCCACTGCGTTCTAACACTCGCGGTGGGGTGGCGGAGAAGAGAGGAGAGAAGAGGAGAGGAGAGGAGAAGGAGTTGACAGCTCTGATAAAATCTAACAACTCACCTGGCAGGCGGGGAGTTTAGTGACGTTCAAGTCATCACCATTCATGGATAACCTTCCGGCGGCGCAGCCCCGTCGGGGCATGGCCAGAGCTTGCAGCTCCATGGCCATTGTTCTGAGCTTGTGTGTGTTGGTGGTGGGCCAGGCGCAATGATTTGTAAAGGGTATAGTATAGAGAGCCAGCAGCAGCAGACGCGCCGATGGACCAAGATCCAGGTTCGGTAGTGCGCCAAAATAAGCTCGCTTAGGGACAGACAGACAGACCGAAACACAGACACACAAACCTCAAATCATTTCCCAGCGAAGACATCCCATGGGACCCTGGCACGCACGTCGCACTGGACATGATCGTCATACCGGACTTACCCGGACCCTTGACGCACCGAAGAACTCCCTTCTGCGGTCGAGTTCAGAATGCACCCCACTCCTAGGACAACCCGCGCTCGCTTCTCTCCCTAAATCAGTCTGATCCATGTGTCCTATTCTTGGACGCGCGTGCACGTGGAGTCCATGGGTGTTGCTGCTTCTTTTCTCAGCTTGAGACCACACCACTGCATGGCCCCATGCCTGAATCCAAAGGAGTGAGGGGGGAGTCGAACCTGAGCCTAAATCCGGGCAACTTTCCCGGAAACATTGACGGTCAGCGACGAATCTAGAATCAAAACGTTTGTCAATTGTTTGGCAGGTTTTTGGCAATGTGACGGATCGAGAAACGGTACGTCCACCGCTCACAAGGGCGTCGCACAAGAACACACCAGCCGCACTTCGCTCACGCTCAAGTTCATCGTCCCAGACCGTGGGGTCGGCGGATTTAGCTTTGATGAGTTGCCCCAGTGATGAGAGGCTTTGTTTTTGACAAACAACATCAAACAACCATGGTCACGTGTTTGCCGTGGCGTTGACTTGGCCAGGTCGACAAAGTCAAGGAGATTTTGAAACTGGTCGCGAAACAGGCAGTTGGGGCGGGGAAAGATGTGGGAATGGGTTTGGTCATTTGGAATCGTTTTGGATGTTGGTGTACTTTATGGATAAGCCGCATCAGGTTTCTAGCCGCTTCGATTTTTGTTCAATACTGTTGGTTGCTCCGAGGCAGGTTATCAACCATGGGGGCACCCATTGTCATTCCACCCAAAAGATGTTTGCGACCATGCAATGGGGTTTGCAACAAACACCGCATCCTGGCAGGTTTATCCAATAAACTATTTTGCCTGGTTTTGTTCAATGGTGATGTTTTATCTTCCCTATGGTTACACTCCTTTTTGGGGAATAGTGTTTCTTTTCCAGGTCCCAGGTTCCTCAATCAAGCATATCCAAATACCCTCCCAACATCTAAGTCAGGAAGTGCAGAGAGTGCCAGGCTAGTGGTGCAGATTGCTGGGACATTTCAGTAGAGCTGCCTTCAAAACCGGCACTCATGATTTCTAGTAACTTACTATACCCAGACACTCCATGTATATCCATGTATGGAATATTTCCATACTGTTACTGTATGGACATTGTCATGGATTCAGGGGTGAATGTAGGTAAATATGGGACGTGTTTGGGACGTGTATGTCAAAACTTCCATGCGAGTTCCGTGCACAAATTTGTCACCAAAACATTGTACGAGTGTCTACTGAGCTTCGCCAGAACAGCACAGAAGGGAAACAATGGTGCTGGGTTGATCGCTTGCCTTACATCATGTGTGCCATCACTCGTTGTTATGTGATGTGATATTGCCCTTGTATTTGTGAATACTTGTCATATCAGATATCATATACTGAGGGTGGATGGTACTGAAGGTAGGTTGCGGCGCCTCTAAGCCGACCGCTCTGTTGTAACATGTGTTTGCAATCAACAATGTTTTAGAACCAATGTGGTCGAAACTCAGTTTAGTGTGTGTTTTTGCTTAGGCTGTTTGTTAACACACAACGGGTTTCTGAATAGTTTCAGATATGCATGTTTTCCATGATTTAGTCTCTTTCTGGGATGGTTGCTTGATGTTGTTTGGTTGTTGCTCATCCTGACATGTACTAAATACGGAACACCCACATGAACAAAGAAATCCAAAGAATGACAATTATGAACTAGACCAAGAACTGTTGGTGTTTGTTGGAAGTTCCCATGCCCCGTTTGGAGGTGGGATCCAGCGTAGCTATGCGTAGCTGAGAGTGGTCTCAGTAGTATTTGTAGAGTGACACTCCAAAGACTTAGACATTTCGGAATCAGCACCAAAACATTTCTTGGGATTGATTTATGAAGATCTATTGACCTCATATTTCCCAATGAAGGTTGCTAGTTGCAGGTTTGCCCATTCCAGGCATGGGAGGTGGACTCAGCTTCACAAGAATTGAACAGAACATCCACCTGACTCGATCCACTACGCCTACTGGGAACGCTACTGCACGATAAAAAACACGAGTCGAAGAATCAGCTGGACCAAAAAGGCCATGCCGCATGCCCCAGACTCTCATGCACCCTCATATGGAGGGGTCCGGAGTCTAGGGTCTTCGAACCAATCCCGAGGTTTGGATGGGCCGGAAGGGGCCGGAAGGCTGTTTTCACCGCCCACCGGCAGAAGTGAAGCCGCCGAGACCTGCCCGGGCCCTCGGCCGACCAGCCGGCGAGGTCGGCTTCTTGGAAGAAGACATGGATCGCCCAGTGAATCTCTTCAGCGGTGGCTGGAAGGCCGGATCCGCACGGACCGGACCGGTCGCCACGAGGCCACCCGGGCGGTCCGCGCTGGCAGGTGGGGAATTGGGGAAGGTCAGTTTCAACCCGTCATTGGCAAAAAGATGTCTAGACCGTTCTAGCTGGTGTTGGGCTGCTAGAAGCTGCTATAGAATGCGATCAAATCCGATCTGTTTGCCAAGCAAAACCTCCAGTTGTAGGGCTTTGCAGGTGCGTGTCCGTTCTGATTTCACGTGGCCAGTCAGTCTCATATTCTAGTGCTAGGCTAGTAGCCAAGTAGCGAAGAGTTCATGTGGTTTTTATCATCCTTAATCATCCTTCACCGTCAAGAATAGAGCTTAGAACCTTCAAAACCATTGCTGTGACCGGTCTTATGCATTTGTATTCCTTCGCCATACAGATCGCTGTCTTAGGTCTGAGGCTCAAATCATCGTACCCCGCTGAAAGAAGGCGCCAATGGCGGTCACGTGCACGGAGACCATTGCGCCTGCCCAAGCGATCTCCTTTGGCGAAGCGACCGGCGAGGGGGTGCAGAGGGAGGCGAATTCGGAGGATTCAGCGCCAGCGGCGCAAGAACGGATGCCACCCTCCATGTCATTGGCTTTGGTGCACCTTGACCTTGCACGCCCCTTTTGGTTACTGAGCACCAGTAATTTGTGTCATTTTGTCATGTAATTTGAGGGAACTTGGACTTCGAAGCCCAGGTATGTTCCGATTGTGCTGCTGGTGTTGAACACCGAGATCGTCGTTCCAACAGCCGACGACTATGCCAAGCGCTTGGGAGCTTCTGAGAGCTTTAGTGGCTTGGTGATTGCTTTGACACCTTTCTGGCAAGGCATTTTGGGAGTACCTCTCAATTATGCGATGTTGCGATGTGGCATTTCCATCAAAAGCATGATCATCATCATGGCTGCTGGCTCAGTAGCAGGCAACGTGCTTTATGCTGCTTTGAGTGGCAGAAAAGGTTTTTGTTTCCTCTTGAAGGAAACCATTCGCTCTCAAGGAAGCTCTGAGACTCTGAGCTGTGTGGTTCAATCCTTAGGAGATTCAGAATGTTTCTTCAGTGGACTTCCCAATTGGAAACATGAGGCATTGGCCGGGCTGATGCAGTTCAAATGCACCATTCTCATATCGCGAGCAATGATTGGCATTTGTCAATGTCAACTTGCAGGGCCCATCTACATCGCCAGGTCTGTCGGTGTCTTTGATTTGTCCAACATGGTCCAAAGCATGGGTTTGTATTTGTATTCTAAGGAACTCCCCCTGGTCCAATAGGCTGTACGATGTTGTAGTTTTGCTCTTCCTAGGGGTCTTTGGGGGTTCCCCATTCCATTATACACCCGCATGGGTCCAGTCACGTTGTATTTACCTTCTTCACTCCTTGACCCTCCACGTTCTGCACCTAAGGTGTAAAGAGACGGACCAAGGTGATGTTTGTGTCTCTTGGCTTAGGGTAATTTTTGTTGTTACCATACGGGTGAATCCCCGTTTGCATGTTGGTTTTATGTTTGCACGGCGGTCCAGCCCCGCAGTTTTCCCAGGTTTTCGAGTCTCACGGGTGTGGCTTTGTGCGGTGCTCCCTTGATCGCTTCCCTACTGGAGATTTTTGTGAAGGAGTTGCGTATCGGCGATTTGCTCTTAAACTCCGACACCATGCCCGGCTGGTTCATGGCTGTGGTCTATTTCATCTACATGCTCTTGATTGTGTTTTGTTTTGAAGACTCCAGTAGAGACGAGACAAGCTTGTCTCCCAATTTGCTTGAGGAGGGCGAGAGTTGTTGGAAGCCAGGGCTTTGGGTGTGTTTGTTTGCATCCTTCTTGAGCACAACCACTAAGACCATGTGTGTGGTTTTCTTTGTGAAACTATCTGAGCAGACCTGGGGTCTCAGCATTAGTAGCACGGGCTTCGCCCTTGCCGGGGCTATGGCACTGGTGACAGCAGGTAGCTTTGCCAACAGTGCAGTCACAACTTATGTCGAAGATCGTCGGGGTCTTTTGATTGGGTGCTTATGTGCTGCAATCAGTGCAGTGCTGACCTTTCACTTTGGAGACTCGGGTGCTTGTGAGTGATGCGTCTTTTTTAAAATGTATTTTTTAATCAAGATGCTTTCAGCTCAGCGCACATGAGTCGGTATGGTAAAGAGGAAATCAGATAAGAACACACCTCTGATATAATCCCACGGACTAATCTCGTCATAGGGAAGGATCCCCAAAACTAATCTTGTATAAGGAGTGATTTACATTACAGAGGTGGCATGGCAAGTATGAGCAACTGCCAGAATCATGAGCCAACAATGAGCTAGTATGGGCAAATGTGAAGAGATTAATAAATACATAATACATGGCTTTAAATGGGACCAAGGATAGGTTAAGTTAAAGTTAAAGTCACCGGTCAAAGGAGTTCAACAAATGTAATGAATATGTATAACTATATATATATATATATATTCAGGAGACAGATGAACCCAATCAATACAGGGTTTGTTAATCGGGACAGTAAGAACGGCACAGATGAGTTTGCAAAGGTGGTTAGTATTTCAGAGGAGAGCTGGAACAAATTATATATTGGGGTATTACTCCACGGTTTGCATTGTATCCATAGAGGGTTTGCCAGCTTTTCCAGTGGCAAGGAGACAGCTGGAACACGACCTCCACCATCATCTTTATGTTGGGGTTCTTGCTGATGCAGTCCTTCTTCTGTGTTGTGAAGAACCTCGGCTTTTTTGCAGTATGAAGACTTTGTGTACTCCTGTCTTTGTTTGCCCTGAACTTTTGTGTAGAGGGCAACATGACGGGACTGAGGGCCTTTTGCATTGTAAGGCCAACTTAATGACACTTCCGACTGGAGGGTTACTTTTAGCTTGAACCAAAAAAACAAAGAGCACAGGTCCAACTCTACAAGATCACATGCACCATGTCCAGCAATTTCAACACTTGAAACGGTTAAATCCTGGTGCTTTAACCGGGTACCCCTAAGGAACGACATCCTTTGCAAGTTATGTTTCTTGTCCATCCCGTTCATCTGGGCCTTTAACCATCATCCTTTTGCTTCAGCCATTTTGAGAGTCATGACATGCACCTCAAAAAACGGCTTTCGTTCACATCAGTGACCCCCAATCTGTTTCTCAAACACGTGTGATTGGGGGAGAAGAAGCTCTCCCCCCCAACTCTCCAACAATCCCAAGCACGACCTGTTTGGCATTCCGAAAGACTTCCGTCTCCGACCTTCCGAGGGCACCTGCCCGTCAGCGCGAAACAAGACTGTCCAGTCGGGGTCATGGTGTTGATCTGATATTCACTAACATATCAACTGCATAATCTGTCGACCATTTCTATGGTGTCAACATGTGTTTATAACCACACACTGGGTGTTGTTGGATGGGGATTTGGTGTGGGTCTATAAATGTCCGTAATTGAACCACCCGACAACCTGCGTGCTGGAACAACAACTCTTCCAGATTCGTGTTTGACATCTTCAGGAATTATGGTTATGCTTTGGTGCCGAAGATTGTGCCACCACAGTGGAAGGACCGCACGACGACAGCCAATTCCGTGGCGTTGCAACTCGGCCGCGGCTTGGGAGCTCAGTTGGGCGCAGTAATGAGCATCACAGGCTTTGCAGCTTCCCAGGCGCGAACCGGGGTGAGTTCGGTCCGTGCTCAGGTTGAGGGGTGGGCAGTTTGGGTGATGTTGACTGATTTAGAGAGATGTCCATGCAACTGGGCAGAGCATTGAATGGAGAGGCTTTGCTGTAGATGAAAGAGCAGATCTTTGAGAAAGCGCTTTGTAGCAGTTGGGCCACAAACAATGCCTGGTTTGGGCAAGGGTCGCACGTCTCAATCCATCCCTATTGGCCAGTGTTTGGCCTAAACAAGGCTACCGAAGTGGCAATGTATAGCGGATGATTCCAGGTGTATATGTACTTTTTCTGTGCTGAATCTTGCGAGTGCTTCATTTTGAAGACAAAGCTGCCCTAAAAGCTCAGCTGGAGTCGAGAGAGAGTCCTATAGTATACAGTATACAGGCTCTTGGGACTCACTGCCTTTAGATTGGAACTATATAGGGATTCTTGTTCACCTCATGAGCCATGAGTGTAGAAAGCTGAATTTGGATGAGCGCTCTCCTGGCAGGTGCTTTCTTACTTCCTTTTGGCAGGTTTGGTGGCGGTCTTTAGCAAAGAAACTTGTCCAAGTGAATGGCGTTGTTGTGTCTATTGTTGACCCTGGATTATGTCAAATGGATTGTTTGAGGTCTTAATCATAATCTCTTTGCTCAAGCGTAAAATGTGGACATCCCCGAACCAAAGGATGTTGTTTGTTTCCAAGTTTGAGTCCTTGATGGTCTCCTTATTTAAATGCACGCCAGAGGTTTTTACTCTACGACAGCAGGCAGTTGAATTAAACGTAAGAAAGACTGCTAACTCTATGTGGGACTGCTAGTTGAACCATCCCGGAAAATTGCCTTGTGGAACAGCGAGGGAGCAGTGGAAGGGGCTAGTGGCATTGATCCAGATCCTGTTTTCAATCCAAGCCGCCAAGGAGTTGAGGCAACACGAGAAGGCCATGTAGTAGCAGGTGTGCTTTGTGAGTTTAATTCGTTTTTTTCGGGCTCCGCTTCGCAAGGGCGCGCGGCAGCCGGTCATGTGTCACGAGCAGATCTGGCCACAGGAAGTGGGGTGTGCAATGCAAATTGGTCCGTTTCTGCAGTTTAGCCACAGCTGCTTGGTGGTTTGTACAGCTTTTGGTTGCCAACGAGCGCAGCAGTTTCGATACGATGTGCGTTCTTGGTGCGTTGTCTCCAAATCTCCAGATCTATTTGGCACTCTAAGAGATCCGCAGGGAGATCCACGACCACAAAGCTTCACAAGTTAGATGCCACAAAACGACACAAAGGTTCAGACAAAAGGTGATTCATTGGCCTAGCAAAAAATCCCTGGACTCCATGGGTCTTGTCAAATGACCATGCCATTTTGAGGGACGGGTGAAGCTCCGTGAGTTCACCCTTTCCGGAACCTGGTCAACAACCCACAGCGATGGGGAGTGGTCGAAACGACCCTGATGGGTCCGGATTTGGGTCCGTTTTTCATCTCCAGTTGGTAGTCATACTCGGATGGGGGGGGCTGGGGAGCTGGAATAGTTGCCATCACTATAGTGACGACCAACCTTGGCTGCTGCAAATGGAGGTACAGGGGTTGGCATCCTAAAAAGTAAAATAGTTCAGATTCAAAAACAGGGGATGGGTTCCATCAATTTTATTGGAGCAGATTGGGGTTGATTTTGAGGTTGGCCCTACAACACTTTATTTTGCGCGTGGGTTGGATGCTGCTCATTTTATTTCACTGCAAGAGATTTCTGTATGTTTGTTTTTTTCTTCTCTTTTGCTTTAGAGCCTTTTGGATATTGAATCCTTAGCAAATTGGATACATCTAGTGTGGTCCCAGGGTTGGTTCCCATCATTTTTATCTCACCCCAAGTGTGCTTTTGGTAGTGTGCCTTTTGTTCGTGTTGCTGGGTGTGTTTGCTAATGTGGTGGTGGCTAAGGGTGGAGAAATGAAGATAAAATCAAAGGCATTGCAGCCTAAATAGTTTAAATCTGCTTCTAGGGTTGGCTCCCATCACTTTTATTTCACCCAAAGTGCGCTTTTGGTAGTGTGCTTTTTGCTTTGTCTTGCTGGGTGCGTTTGCTAATGTGGTGGTAGCTAAGAAAAAAACAATAATTGAATCCTTAGCTTTGGAACTTTTGGTACCTTTTGGTATGATATGATTGATATGTATGATTTTCCAGCCCTCAGGTAAATCCGTTCTCAGATTGCCTCATCCAAAAGGGATACAGTATCCAGGCAGGTTGAGGGAAAAGAGTGGCGCAGATTGCTCAGAGGCCCTGCTACAACTTGTTGACCAGGATGAACCTCCCTTGGTTGGAAGCATCACTAGTTCAGGTAGCCAACCGTCAGAGCATCACTATTTCATGTAGCCAACCTCAAAGGCTCCTAGGAAACCTTCAAGGGCAGGCTTTTTCCTCAGGCTGAAGTACCTAACCATCACTTGCACCAAGCCTACCTACCAACGTTGGCTATCCCCAAAATAACTCTACTTAGAGGCTGGTTACCCAAAATATTTTGGGTGGCCAGCCCTCTCTGGGAGCTACAACCGGGGATGTTTTTCAAAGACAGGTGATTTGGAGACAGGTGCCCACGGTGTCGTCCTTGGTATGACTCACCAGGCGTCAAAAAGGGTCCGAATTCGGTTGTCTCGACGTTCACCTGTGACTTGTTTTTCCGGTCGACTGTGTTGATCAATCAAAACCCTTGGATGCTTTCTCGACTCCCTGAGTATGTCGTTGCAACCACCCAAACTCCGTGGTGCTTCTGGGCTGTTTGGGCCAGCTCCAGTCATCTCCAGTCGTGGTGGTCGCCTCGTTTGAACTGATCCGGCCGTCAAACCGCAGCGCTGCTGTGGGTCCGATCCACTGAGCAGACGCTGAAGGGACACTGGCACGTATTCTGAAGGGGAAGGTCAGACAACAAAGGAAGTTGAGAGTATTTGAGAGTGAACTATATTGATTTCATGGGTGAATGGAGGCAACTCTTTCAGAAACTGAAAACGCCTGATCACTTTATAGTGAAAAGATGTGATAAGTGATCATATAATATATAGTCGAGTCTTACTACACGTCTTACCCATCGTTTTGCAATGGGGCCAGACACCTCAGTTTTGGAAGGGCCTACGGGCCAGACCTTAGAGAACGGGTCTACGAGAGAGAATTCACCCGAGACCTCCCTTTCCTTCGACCACCTCAAAAAGGGTTTTTCTAGACCATTGGGCGAGGGGGTCTCCCTATCAACATGTGCAACCATATATTGTAATTCAATGCAATATATACCAGTGTTCAATCTCATGCTTCCAGGCAGCTGACCAGTGCCTGGTCATCCAATCGAACCTCAAAAACACACCACCTCACACAGGTGCGGATCGGTGTCTGCAAGATCCTCATGATGAGGCACAGACAGGGTATAGACGGATGGTCGCTCCAGACATGCAGAGCAGGAGGCTCCTTTCTCTGATTTCGGAGCTCCACCTACCTGATCACTTACTCCGCAGAATGATATCATGGATCTCCAAAACGGGTTGTAGAGGAAACAACAGCGTCTAATTCCCACTGGACAAAACACTCTCGTTCCGGTCTGATTCCCCCGCAGTGGGACAGGAGCGCCCACGTCGGGGCGCAAGCGGATGGGACCGGAGCGCCCACGGAGTCTGTCGAACTCAACGGATCGATCCGTGGATCGGGAGTGGCACTGGGCACGACTCGGTCGTTTCGCAGCATCTGTTCAAAGCTGGTCTGTACTATATATATATATATGTACGAAGCGTTCATGTTGACAGACGAAGCATTGGGGAAGCGTGATGGACCCCGTGTGCCTGGAATGCTTTTGGGATGTTGCATCGACCGTCTTTCTTTGAAGCGTCTTGTCAGTCGTGCTTCGTGTCGTCGTCTCATGTCGGCCGTCTCCTCGGTCAGTCCTCATCTGGGTCTGCTCAGTCTGCTCCGGATCTCGGCAGTCCTGATGTTTTGCTGCTGGATGAGCCCACGAATCATTTGGATTTGGAGGCGGTCGGCGGACCCAGACGCTGTGCGGTCCGTGAGCGACCGGAGGGGTCCGTGAGCGACCGGAGCGTTTGGGCTGCTGAGGCCAAAAAGCCACGGCTAGAAGCACATCACGTGGAAGGGGAACATGGTTGGTCGGAAGACTATGTTCCTCTGTACAAACAGGGTGACGCTTTCCTCTTCTAAGTACTACTGAGTGGGAAATGTAGTTGCTATTACTTCAGGCTCCATGTGCCATTTTGTTTTGGATGAAACAGGCCGAAAACTCGTTCATGATCATTCATGTGTTTGCCAATTGGCTGGAAGAACAATAATCGCCGGGGCTTCATGGGGATTCATTAAACAAAAAAATGAACAATTAACACACAAAAATACTTGAACCAAGGGCCGAACAAGGGCGACTGCAAATAGAAGCCAAACAAACACAACATGAGCAAACATGCTCGGAAATACACATGTTCGAAAGTCTTTTTCGTGGAACGAGTTTCTTGTTCAGGCGTTGTACAATTTTGTTTGACCAGCGAAGCCTTGTTGATTGTACAGTGGCACCGACCAGGCGGTACTCACGGACCACATTACATAGACCAGGATGAAGCCTGAAACTGACACGACCGCCAAACCCCAACCGCTCCAGCATCCGCTCCATGGGCTGTTCGGACCCCTCAGGTCGAGTGGCTGGAGAAATTCCTCCGAACTCAGGACCTGCCCATGGTGGTGTCGGCCTCAGTGCGTTTTTCACGACGGAGGGGAGGAAGGTGGAAGGTGGTTGAATTTGGCCCTGTTCAACCGAGGATTGATGCATACATTTATACTAGTTTAGTTATGTTATTTTGTTCATTTACTACATTATACTACTCTATTAACTCTATTATATAACTGTATATGTGTGTTAATTATTCATATATATATATATTGTATCGTTACATTATGTTATGATATTGTAATATACATTATATATTACAGTATACTTTATATAATAGGCGGACTATGCAGGCTATGCTTGGCTGATGTTTTTTGAACAAAGTGCATCAAAGTCCGTACTTGAGGGTGTTTGGAGGGTACCTTGTTTGAAGACTCACAGGTGAAAGAATTTGCTATTTGTATGTATACAATAGGATGAGGATGATGCAGGACCGACACAGGATGACTGCTTTGAACATTCCTCCATCATTGCCCATCATCCCATGTACAATCATCTTATGTGATCCTGGGTATGACTGTATGACTTTGTTTTTCCCTATCAAGCACCACTTGGACTTGGCCGATCTCCCGCACAGCTCGCCGCACAGCTCATGCTGAGATCGTGACCCACGACCGAGAGTTCATGAACCGAGTTTGTACTCGATGCTCGGTTGGCAGAAATACGGGAGGCAGAGAGGGGAGGTGTGAAAGGTTCGTTGCAAAAGTGATTCAAAGGGGAATACCCTGGGTCAAGTTCGCTTAACGCTTGATTGACTCTTCTAGGGCAGAGCACAAAAATACTTTCAAGTTCTGACAGGAAAATGCAGCTGAGAATTGTTGAGAGGAAAGTCGAGGTCCACACACACACACACACACACGCGCGGTGCCCAAAAGCACACGCAACTGATTTCCAACATGTTGTGTCACACTATGTTGCACCATCTGCTGAAGGTGCAAAGTGGCAAGCAACACATTCTTGGAAAACGGCTAGCATCATGAGGTGACATAAATAGCATGTTTTTTGGAACACGGTAACAACTCTACATACCTGGCTGCCCTATGTTGGTATATATCAATGTGTTGTTGTAACAGGGGGGTGGTTCAAATAGATCTTGAATGATCTTGACGTCAACCATGAGTCCAGCCCTTTCCAAATTAAGACAGCATTTTTGTTGCCAGCCCACTGCTACCGGTGGCGTGCAGAATGTTAAAGTCCTGGTTGCTTGTTGAGCCGGAATTTGGAGGAGCTTTACCGTGAATAGATCGAATCTGGATGAATCTGGATGAGAAAAACGTTCATGTGGCTTGATACACATCCGAAGACTAATCGACTCCAAGGGCTTGGAGTCCAGAAACTCTGGAGCCGGACATTCGGACCCGAACCACCCAACACTCGGGCTGCAGGTTCGGAACCCCCAGACCCAAACATGCCAAGGATGTGTGAGATCTGACCCAGATCGACAGGCCTTGGGTTTCAAGCCTAAAGATGTCCTAAAGATTCCTACAAAGGCTTTTTATTGATTTAGCAACTACTAACTACTTGTTCTTCATGGTAGGTCAAGACC